CCACTAGCCTCGCCAGCTGTTCCACAGGAGCACAGGAGGAAGAGGAGGCTTCCTACCCCTGTAAAGAGTTCTAGTCTTGGAAACCCCCGGGGCAGTCTTGCGGGGTCACTATGAGTTGAAGTCGGCTCGATGGCACCTAACCAGGCCAAACCCATCCCAACAGATCTGCGCCACCTCGCAGCAGCAGTTGGGGTGTTCTGAAGGGACTCAGATCATGTTCGTTTAGTTTTCAGGGCTGTAGGATGATGGGGTGAGGCTTCCCAACTAAATTCTCCTAGGACAGCCCTGGCTACCCTTGAACAATCAGCAGTTACACTGTTGTGATCTCAAAAAAACTCGGCGTGACTCCTTTCCTAGGCTTTTTCTCACCGATGCCGTTTTCAATTTGATTAAAGCTTCTACCTACTTAGCCCTCATGATCCTCCTGTGTCCTTCGAAGAAATCTATCAAAACAACCCCTTTGCAACCCCCGGAATCAGTGGCCTTACCTTTCTGAGCTGAGCCCTCTGCTGTGGATTTCAGTGGGCCAGCAGATCCCCCGAGGAGGCCGCTACTGCTTTAAGTGCACCTGTTTTTGAAGGGCCCTACTGAGACTGGGAGAGGCTGGCTGCACCGTCTGATGGCAGAGACAGCTCTGAATGCTTTTTGTTGGAATTGGTGCATTATGAACCGGAACCCCAGAGGCAAGAGTTTTTGACTAACCCCGGAAGTCTGGACTCCTCACGACTAAATCCACTGCCCAGTGTTGGCCCAGGAAGCCATTGCATGGTTCCATGACCCATATCAACCCCCCACCCCCACCCTCACCATGCCCTAGCGGTGCCCACCCTATCCTCCCACTCTACACTGGAGCTTTCTGGCACCCCCAGGCCAAACAAACAAAGAAGGGGTGCTGCAGGACCTCTCCCCTGCAGGCCCTGGGTGGCCCTCTGAGTGGGCAGGGCAGACCTGGCACCCCGTTGGCCTGGGTGTGGAACAGTGTGCTCAGCCAGCAATGGGGCCAAGCATGCCAGCTGGCGGGCACACCTGCCAGCTTGGGTGAAGGCTGAGAGGTCAGTTTGATGCCATCCAGTGGAGAGGGGTCGGGGGCATGAGATGAACCCAACACTTGCTTCCATGTTGAATGGGGGTAGCAGGTGGTTGGGGGTTCCCGCCTAGTAACGGGGAATTTATCCAGGGGCTGCAATGAAAGGATGGCCCAGGATGGGGCAGTGCTTCCTGCTGCTGTGCACGAGGTCGCTATGGGTCCCAGCCAACTCGACGGCATCCAACAAAACAGGAACGGGGAGGAATCCAAGGAGAGGCAGTGGGAGGAAATCTCGGGCACAGACAGCCTCTGGGTGTACGTGTGTGCACACATGCATGTGTGTCTGTACCTGTGTCTGTGTGTATGCATGCTTGTGTGTGTGCGTGTGCAACTGG